TCGTGACTACCCACTGGGAAATTCATCTCATCCTGCTGTGAACATGCACTTGGGGATGTCTCTACTGGAGACAGATGGTGACGGGGGATTCATGGTGAGCTAAGGAAAGGGTGTGGCTGGGTCTCTGGGGGTTTGTGGCAGAGAAAGAGCAGTATGGTGCGGGAAGCTGGTCTATGCGGAGGGTCAAGGAGTTAAAAACCCTAGAAAGTAGAGGGGAATCTCAGTGCCTCCTCCTAGGCGCATGTTCTGCGGGTGCCTCCCAACCTGGGAGTAACTGTGTCTCCCGCCTACCCCCAGGCCTGTGCCCCTCTCTGGTCTCGTGCTTGCGGTTCCTCTGTCTTCAGTTCTGGAATATGTGCCCATGTAGATGCTTCATTCCGGCCCCGGGGAAGCCTGGCACCCACTGCACAGCGTAAGCCAGAAGGAGGGCTGAGGTTCAGTCCTCAGCACGGGGTGCAGGGTGGGAAAAGGATGGGGTGTCAGGGTCTGATGGGCCTGCCTGGCTGTCCTCACTGCTACCTAATGTGTCTGCATAAGCGCCATGCTTCTAACAGGTTAGAATTCAGACTCTACCAGGGCACTAAGACTCTATGAACTGACCAAAACAACTTCAAAAACTCAACTCTCACTGTATCCCTCCACGCCCTTGGCTACAGCATTTACCTCACCATTCTCCAATGTGTCATCTATTTTTATACCTACATCTCCTTTTATTTAAAGAGTTCTCAATCCAGATGCCTTTTCTTGTATTCTCCTCTCCTCAAACATCTTCAGTCTTCAGTATCGGCTCAGTTGCTGCCTCCTTTGATTCCCCACCATCAGTGCTATGTTTTTACCTGGCATTCAATTATTATTATCATTATTATTATTATTATTATTATTATTATTATTGTAATATGCTTATACTAGGGGCCCAGTGCATGAATTCGTGCACCTTGAAAGGAACTGTGGGCTGTGAGGCTGTGGTGGTCACAGGGCAAGTCTTGGCCAATCCTCCGCACCCCCACCCGCCCCCTCCCACTGTGGCCCTGGTCCCTTGTCTGCCAGCAGCCCCGCTCCCACCACTGCTCTCCCACGCACTGATGGCACTGGCCCTGCTCGCACCTGCTGACAGCATGGAGCAATTGGGACCTGTGCCAGGAGCGGGTGTGAGCAGGGCCAGTACTGTCGGCAGGTGTGAGCGGCGGCTGCTGCCCCGATCGCCCCTCAGGAGCAGGGGGAGGTAGAGAAGCCTCAGGGGCGATAGGGGCCGGTGCCTGGCATCGGCCATGGGTGCGTGCAAATGGGGCCAGCGCCGGGCACTGGCAGCAGGTGCGAGCATCGGGCGGAACCACGGCGCACGGGAGCAAAGAATTTTCAGTAACCACCAGAGGCTTGCCCCAATGACAATGACCAGTGCCCTGCCTTGGTCTGACACCCCCACTCACCTGCTCCACCATCCTGCTGCGGCCATCGCCCACCATGTTCCACATGCTTCCCCTGGTGGTCAGTGCATGTCATAGCAACTGGTTGTTCGGTTGTTCTACCATTCAGTCTATTTGCATATTAGGGTTTTTTATATATATAGATTGATTTCAGAGAGAGAAAGGGAGAGGGAGAGATAGAAACATCAATGATGAGAGAAAATCATCAATTGGCCACCTCCTGCATGCCCCCTACTGGGGATCGAGCCCACAACTGGGGCATGTTCCCTGACCAGGAATTGAACTGAATCACGATCTCCTGGTTCATGGGTCATTGCTCAACCACTGAGCAACACTGGCTGGGCTTTTTTTTTTTTTTTTTTTTTTTTAGTA